AGAGAGAGAGAGAGAGAGAGAGAGAGAGAGAGAGAGAGAGAGAGTTCTTCTTCTTCCTCTTCTCAATCCACCATCTCCCTCTCACCCTCTCGCTACCTGACTTCACGGCATCAGCAGACTACGAGAGAGAGAGCGGGATTGGTGGCGCATTTGGATCCAGACTCGACAATGGGCTTCAGACATTTGACGAGGGATTATCTGGGACTTGTACCGAAGACTTGGTGTTGACGACATTTCCATCTTCCCCCTCTTCTTCGTTTGATCCCCTCCTCTTCGTCTATGTATGGTCTGGACCTGGCGCATTCTTCCTGTGTGTAGTGCCAGGCCCCTTCACACCTTGTGATGAGGATGATGTATGTTGGGTCTGCATTGCGACATTGGTTGGGCTAGTCATTGGTATTCTAGCATTTCGCTACGCTGTCTTGTACTACGTGAGGGAGGTCAGTCCCGGTCAGGTCATGACTTTTATCTTACTCTTCCATTGCGCTACAAAGCACCATTTTTGTATGTATCAGGATGTAGACTGCTTGTTGAGATTCTACTAGCACTACATTGTCCATTCAGTCCTTTTCATCACATTGCGGATCCTTGGCTTTACATACATTGCCCAACTGGGCATGTAACAGCAGAGGCGGAGTTAGAGCAGCCATCGCTGCTTGTAGTTAGTGATAGCTGGCGGTCATATCCGCCATAGCTAGCGATAGGTGGTAGTAAGAGTGTGTGTGCGTGTGGGATATAGAGTGTGTGTGTGCGTGGGATATCCAGGGAGATCCGGGGTTAAGTGCGTGTGAACAGTTGTTGTGAATACAATGTTGGGCTAACGATGTGTGAGGGCGCTCAGGTGCCATATCTAGTTGGAAGCGAGTTTGTATCTGAACTGTGTTCTCGGCCATATGGTCTCTGAGCTTTGTGTGGGCGCCTGGCGCGAGTGTGTTCGATATCTGTTTGCATGCATGCGAAGTGAGAAGAAAGGGAGTTTGATTTCATCGGTATCGGAGCCGGTTCCCACTATTCCACGCGCCGTCGTCGTTCAACGGTGCGCTGAAGTTGGGTGCCACAGTTGAAGTTGCACCATCAAGAAAGGAGGTCCGCCATAGCTGTGCTGCGAAGATAGTCATCGTGCACCTGCAAAGAAACACGACGAAGGGAGAGAGAGAGAGAGAGAGAGAGAGAGAGAGAGAGAGAGAGAGAGAGAGAGAGAGAGAGAGAGAGAGAGAGAGAGAGAGAGAGAG